TTCTTAGGGTTGACTTTGACAGTGCTATATTGTTGCCTTAGGATATTTCATACTAGTGTAAGATAGAATTCTGATTGTTGGAAGCTCATGGGGGCTAGACAGGCACTTGACTTTGCACGACAGTTTGGAGGGAGTATAGGAAAACAATTCAGAACAGTAGGGCAACAGTCGCCATCTGTACACAGTTGGTTGTTGAAATAAGATCTGCATAAAGTGGCAGGCTTCTGCCAGAACCAACAAGTTACACCAGAGTGTTGTTTACTATTAATATTTAATATTGATGTGTCTTTTAGTTAAATGGCGGTTATTCCTAAACCAGCTGTCTAGGATTTATTTAATTAACCTAGAGCACAATCCTGGGCAGTAATTACTCCATCCTAAACCCAAGCCCACATAGCTTTCTCCCATTCAGATTTCCCACATTATACTTGCTTTTAGTCATATCTCAGGTCTCCTGGTGGTTCCAAGTCATCTCTTGCCAATCTTGCCTCTCTGACTCCTCCCACTTGCTTCCTTCTCCTCCCCTTCGGACCAGGATGTCCTACCCTATTCTCTCCATTGCTCAGCATTGGCTGGCTGTTTTATTAACAACACAGAGAACAAATGGTAGCATGTTTACACAAACTTGAGACAAGTGATACTTAGAATAAGCATCACAATGCAATATCCAGATTGAAACTAGATAGTGGGGTAGAGAACTCAGCATTTGAATGAACAAGGGTAAATTGTATACATTCCACAAGAACATTATACAAACACCAGAGGATGATACCTTGGGGCAAATCACAGAAAGCTCTGTAGGCACCAGATTTGGTGGTGCACATGTGCAATGCTGACTATCACGAAGCTGAGACAGGTAAATTAAGAGACCAGAGCCAGCCTGGGCTGTGTAACCACTATGGGTCCCGATGAGATACATGGCTTTAGCTAGTTTTAAAACATTAAGGGCTGGAGATTCAGCTCAGTGGTAGAGTTCTTGGCTTGCATACTAGTGGCCCTGATTCAATCCCCAAAAGTTCAACAGTCATAGACCTCCTAGTCCATTCCTGTAATCCCAGATACTTGGGAGGTGGAGTCAAGAGGACTGCAAGTTCTCAGTCATCCAAGCAGTTTAGATAAGCCTGGCTGTTAGTGGGACTCTGTGTGAAAATAAAACAGAAGGTGCAGAAGCACACAGTTGGGATCTCTAGGGCAGACTTTTTTTTTCACTTTTTAGAGAGAGTCCTACAGGGCTGGATGTGAATGTAGTGCTGGATGTCTGTAATCCTACCACGAAGACATACAATGAGGAGAAACACAAATTCAAGGTCAGCTTGAGCTAACTGTGAGACAGTGCCAATAAAAGCAGAAAGAGGGCAATGCATGGTGGCACGTGCCTGCGATCTGAGCAACTGGGAGGCAGAGACAGGACAATTCGGCGTTCAAGGTTGGCTTTGGCTACATATGGAATTCTACACCAGATTGGGCTACATGAGATCCTGTCACAAAAAGCCAAACCAAACCAACCAATCAACCAACCTCATAGAACATCCTACACACACACACACACACACACACACACACACACACACACACACACTCCATAAATAGATATAAAAAATAAGGATCACTGAGTCTGGAGTGTAGTTACTGGTAAAGCATTTGTGTAGTATGTGTGAGGTCCTGAACTTGGTCTTCAGCACCAAAAGCATACAAAACTGATAATAAGTACTATAAAATTTAATTGCATCAAACCAAGAAAATAGCTTTGTAACACATTAATGCAGAAAAAGACTGCTATATCAATTTACAAAGAATTCATTTCAATTTAAAAATTCTGCAAAGTCTAATAAACTAGGTAAAGAATTTAGTCTAGTAATAAGTATGGGGTAATCAGATTTACTCACAAGTAGCTGAAAATCAAAGGAAGAAGTTGCTAGTTTTTAATCTATCAGACTGGCAAACATTTAAAAATGATACAATACGCTGGCAATTGTATAAGAATGCAAGCCTTCTTGTGCACTATTCTGAAGATTAAAATTGGTGTTATTTTGGTTGTGAACAGTTTTGCAACATTTACCAAAGTTAAAAATGCACACTCCTAACCTGAAGCATGGCCATCATGAGCTCAAAGCAAGCTATTGCTACACAGTGAGTCTTCGGCTGCCTGGTTTAGATACAGAGGACCCATCTCAAAACAAAACAAAGAGACTCATTTCTTTGACTCATCACTTCCATTGCCACAAACAGAACTTAGAAATCCATTTAAGACATGCCTAGATGGCTGGGAATGTGGCTCATTAATGGAGTATTTACCTTCCTCACAACTACAAGGCCATGGGGTTTGATCCCATGTGCTGAAAAGAAAAGCCTTTATGGAAACTAGCTAATTGCAACTTATTTTTTGCAATGGAAAGAAATGAAAATCATCTAGCTGCTTGTCAAGAGATGACAGATAAGTGGAGTCATGGCACATTTAAAACACAGAGTTATATGGTTCTTTAAGGAGAACGATTTACACAGGGATATCAGTAAGAAATATTAAGAAGGAGAATCCGAGAAGGAAGGAAGCTGTTGGTATACACCTAAAATATGGAGTAATGGTTAAGGCTTGCATTATTAGACAGATATGAACGAGAATATTTTTATTAAAAAAAACACATAAGAAATTAAGGAGTTAAGGGTTCCTGGAGAGTCCGCTGGTCCTGAGTTGACATGATGACCACATTGGTGGTCAAAAGCAGCAACAGAATAGATTCATGTCACGAGCAGGAAGTGAAAGCTGAGGAGAGGAACATGTCTGGGGTTAAAGGGATATGTGGAATAGGGCAATTTTTATGTTTTTCTGAACTCTCGGAAAATTATAGTTATGCCTCTTGGTTTTTCTTCCTTCTTCTCCCCTCTTCTTCTCATATATCTCTCCCACACCTCTCTTCTCTTCTTCCTCCTTTTATGAAATGTGTGTTATAAAACCCAGAGCCTTTTCCATGCTTTAGATTTATTCCCCTCAATCTAAAGAAAGTGCTGTCTTATTGAGCAACAACCTCAGCCATGTTTTTTCTTGATCGTATAATTCATGAAGTGAAGCTGACCCTACGATATCATGCTATAGTAGAGAATCTCAAAGAGCTGAACCTTCCTTTATTTCTGGTCTTGTCCAGCACCAATGACAGAAAGTTCACATTGATACAAGTTTGCCTTGTATTAAGCTTGGGATGTAGTTCTATTTCGATGGTGTATTTTCTGGTTGCCAGTTTTTTAGATCCAAATGCACATCTGGTATAGTGTGAGAAGTATTTCTAACTGACACATTTTCCCCTCAATGTAAAGCCAGGTGCAACAGCTGGCATCCATCCAGTTTTGTTCAGCTTGGCACACATTTTGGATAACCTTAGTTCTATTTTCTATTCACTAGACTCAAGTTCAGAGCTGATGATACTTGCAGAATGGAATAATAGACAATGGAGAGATGGAAGAAGAGAATGGTGCTACAACACAATAGCACCATTGTAGTCATACCCCCAGACAGTCATAAGAGGAGAGGCTGAAAGCATCCCTTTAGAAGGTCCTCTGCCATCTACCCATCTGCCCTCATCTTTTCTCCTGTTCCTCAGAACTTATCTCTATGCCCATAGTTTTTCCCCAGGCCGTTACTGCATGCCCACCTTATTTTATGTATTAACACTTTTCTGATTTCCATCTATTGCTGAAAACAATGTTCTATACAAAGTCCTGTTCTTTTTTTTAATTTTTATTAATTATACTTTATTTATTTTGTATCCCCCATAACTCCCTCCCTCCTCCCCTCCCGATCCCACCCTCTCTCCTCCTTCTTCACGCATGCCCCTCCCCAAGTCCACTGATAGGGGAGGTCCTCCTCTCCTTCCCTCTGATCCCAGTCTATCAGATCTCATCAGAAGTGGCTGCATTGTCATCCTCTGTGGCCTGGTAAGGCTGCTCCCCCCTCAGGGGGAGGTGATTATAGAGCAGGCCAATCAGATTATGTCAGAGGCAGTCCTTCTTCCCATTACTATGGAACCCACTTGGACACTAAACTGAAGGCTCTGCCCTGCAGACTATCAAAGCAGATGCTGAGACTTATGGCCAACTGTTGGGCAATGTGCATGGAATCTTATGTAAGAAGTGGGAAATAGTAAAATCTGGAGAAGACGGGAACTCCACAAGGAGAGCAACAGAACCAGAAATTTGAACACAGGGGTCTTTCCAGAGACTCATGCTCCAACCAAGTACCTGGCATGGAGATAACCCGGAAGTCCTGTTCTTTTATTTCACTTTTCCACTTTTAGTCCTGTACAATCCAGCATTTACATCATCTTCCTATGAGGCATTGCATGCCTGAGTGCCAGGCACTTGTGTAGAACTTGGGTCTGCTAGTTACAACTTTGCGCCTTATAGTCAAATTCAATCTGTGTAACTTATAGCATCTCTATTGTAAGTCTTTGTTTTAGTTAGGATAGCTGGAGTGGTGCAAAGCTATTTCAAATGGCTCAAGGGAGCACTGGTCTATATTAAGTGTCATTTATCACTACATGAGCATCGGAATGTCTTTTATAATGAGAAGCACACACCTTGAAAGGTTGAAAGCATTCATAGGGAATAAGAATAAAACATGTGCAACTATGACAGCAGGCGCTTGTGCCGTGAGAAGGGGACCAGGAGAGGTAGAGATGACCTTTAGAGAAATCTGTGGCATCTTCTCCCACCTCACAAACCTTAGAAGGGTCACATAGATTTACTTCAGTAGTAACACTTTAAGGATTAGCCCCATTCAGTATTCATTAAAATCAAAACCCTGTCCACAGAGGTTGTCATCACTTCCACAATCAGCTTTATATTCATGAAGCCTTCTCTTTTATGAAAAGAGGTCATGAGCTTACCAGTTGCTAAATTCTGCATGTATTCTAAAGTGCAGACAATGAGAGGGCCTAACACGGACACCCTTAGAAGCCCACTGTCCCACTTAGAACTTAGGGCCATCCAGCACCTTGAGCTCCACTTACGTCATGTAGGTTAAAAATGTGCTCAGGGGCTCCAACGAATGATTCCGGAAATAGTCAAACTCCCTGCAGAGCTTTTTCCTCATCTCCGTGTCAATTTTGGAAACAGTGAGAGGGTTTGTTTCATTAGCCAGGAAGTTGCCATAATCAGTGGTCTGGAGATGGATTTTCAGATCTGAAATGCAAAGAACCCCAAAGAGAGTTAAAGTCAGAGACATATTTGTGGTAACTTTAAAAAAAAAAGACATTTATTGTTTTCTTAGACTTTAAGATAGGTGTAAATAGTTGGGAAATCTGAGACTGGTAAAGCTCTGTCCAAAATTGAGGAAAAGAGAGAATTGTAACAGTTGATAGAGATATAGAGGGGATGGGCAGCCATCATAGCTCAATCTCCGTGTCCTTTAGTCCATGAGGGCAGAATGATGGAGTTCCCTGGAGCTTGTCCTGAAACCAGAAGAGAAGAGGCTGTACTCCAAGCATCATTTCTGAACCGTGTATTATATAAGCGCCAGTGGTTTGTGTAGCCAAAGGATTGGACTCAATTCCAGCTTCATTTTATTGTTGGTTCTTTCTCAAGAAACCATGTGCCATATTTTTGTTATTGTTGGTCCCACCCCACTTTCCAGAATCACATCAGTAAACTGGGATTCAAAGCCATGTTTAATTGATTTGGAAATCATTAAAAACCTGTAGTTTGCTGTCAATCAATGCAATCATTATCACATACTCTGTAAAGCCTCTATCTTCTGAGACAAAATTTAAAAAAACTTTGCTAATACTTCAGGCATAGCACCTGCTGTGTTTTGAATGTTCCCTGTAGATTCCCCTAACTGAACACTGGATCCCTAGTTGGTGGTGCTGTTTTTGGAGTCTGGGTCTGTGGTCTATTTAACAGAAGAGGGTTACTGGGAGTTGACATTCATCTCTGTTTCTGCTCTAATCCCCCTGCTTCCTGACCCACCAAGATGTGAACAAGCTGTGATACAAGTTCGAGGTGCTGTGTCTAACCTGCCTTCTTCACCATGGTGGGCTGAGCAGTTAAGTGGGAGACATGAAAATTAAAAATATACCTACCATATGATTCAGTAACCCAAATACTGGGTGCATACTCAAACAATCTGTAGTCAGCACACCAATGAGATATTTGTACATCTATGCTATTGCAGCATTAATCATAGTAATAAAGCTCCAGAAGCAACTCACACGGCCATCAACAGGTGCACAGACAAAGAACATGTTGGCTAAACACACATGAAGTATTATTCAACCTTAAAATGAAGAGATTCCTGTTACATATGGCAATAGAGATAAGCCCAGAGGACATTCTGTTTAGTGAGACAAGCCAGGCATGAAGGGGCAGGTTTGACGTTATCTCACTCAGACGTGAAGCCTGAGAATGGAGCTTATAGAGGTGGAGAATAGAATGCTGGTTACCAGGAGTGGAGGGAGTCAGCTAATGTTGAGGAGGTGTTGCTTAAAATATACACTGTAGCTGGTAAGGAACATACCAAGATAGCTATTGCAGAACAAGGTACTAGTAAATAATGAGGGATTCTGTACATCTCAAATCATCAACAGAATGTTTAAAAAGCTTTCACAACAAAAAGTATGTGAGGTAATGTTTACGTTAATTTGCCTAAAGGAACTACTCCACAATATGTAAGGACCGCTTTTACTACATCCTGTTAAACTGGATGTGATGGTACATGCCTTTAATCCCAGCACTGAGGAGGGGAGGCAGAGGCAGACAGACCTCTGTGTTTGAGAAGCTTGGTCTCATAGTGAGTGGTTACATAGTGAACACAGAGTGAGTTCCAGGCCAGCCAAAGCCACACAGTGGGAACCTGCCTCAAACCAAAAACAAAAATACTTCTTTCCCTAGTAATCACCATTCTATACTCTACTTATATAAGCTGCAGGCTTCACAGCTGAGTGAGAGAATGTCAAATCTTCCCTTTTGTGCCTGGCTTATTTCACTAAACATTATGTTGTCTGGGTTGAAGTTACAGAGAGGAGTAAGAAGTGTTAATGTGCTTTTTGCACAGTAGATTGATGAAAGATCAAATCTACATGCCATAGATTTTTGTTTTAATTTAGAAGGATTTTTAAAGGTGATAGTATAATCCTGTCATGGGGGTGCATGTCTGTAATCTTGCATTTAGGGGCCTGATGTCAGTCTGAGCTACATAGCAAGATACTGCATAAACAAACAAACTAAATAAATAACAATATGAACCTTTGAAGTGCTCGTAATTATGACAAAAGGCCTGACAAACTCAACTTGAAAGAAAACAATTTATTTTGGCTCATAGTTTAAGAAGGGGCAGAGAACCAGGATTCAATTCCCAGCACTTTCATGAGGGCTTACAGCCACTCAGAACCCCAGTTTCAGGGCCTCTAGTGACTCCTGCGCACCAAGCACATACGTGGTGCACAGATATATATGTGAGCAAAACACCCACATACATAAAGTCAAATATACGTCTTTTAAAAAGCCGCTCTGAGCCATGAAGTCATGGCTCTCACAGCCAACAGCCGGAGGAGGGATGATGTGGTGCTTGAGAGGTTGGGAGACAGGGCATGAAGTTCTTCAGTGTTCTGAGTAGATTTTGCTTCAGAGATGCTTTTTATTGAATCAATTCACTTTTTGAACTTCTTAACTCAATTTTAAGCAATTACGCTTCGTGCCATGCCTTGTTTGGCTGTCATTTTGGTGGTGCAGATTTTTATGTAATTTTGCAATTTGTATTTTCACTACCAAAGATTATTTGCCAACAGAAATGACACAAGTGATGGTATTTCTTTCAAAACCATGATATTTTGCTCAGTGACATATGTTTCTTTTAAGCTAAACAACTTTCAAACCTTTTCTCTGCCAATGAGAAGTTGCAGTGAAATGTCTCTGTTCCAGACTCAGGAGGAATCTTGGAATGTTAAAGTCCTGGAAAATGGAATAAGAGACTCTTTTCCTTCCCCAGCACCAACATGATCCAACAGACATTTGCACAGTGCTCAGCATCCTGTAGTTTTCAAAATAGGTTCATTTTTTTTCCCTTGCTGTTTGGACCTGCTTCTAAATTTTAAAATTTAGAGCTGGGTGTGCTGGTACACATGTATAATCCACGTACTCTGGAGACTGAGGCCTGAAGGTCAAGAGTTTGAGACCAATGTGGGCTACTGAGGGAGATTATGACTCAAAAACACAAAACAAACAAACAAAAAGGAACAACTCTTTTTCCCTGGAGGTTATGCCAAGGAGGTACCTTTAGACACACCTGTCATCTAGGATACTGCTGTAGCAATTGGACCCTTTCCATTTTCCAAGTCTGCTTAGTGCCAAGCTTAAGGAGGACTGTTGATCTTTCTCAACTCTGTTTCCTGATCCAGAAAATATTAGAAAGCTTTCATGGCATGAGTATGCGTGCGTGCGCACACACACACACACACACACACACACACACACACACACACACACACATGAGCAGGTGGGGGGGGTGAGAGAGGGAGGAGGCACACAGGGAGAGAGGGAGGGAGAGGAATATAGAGTCCATATACTCAGATTATGGCAAGGGCCTCTTGGGGTTGTAAGTAACTTAAGACAGGAGTTACAGGATGTAGAGGGTGTTTTGCTGCTAATAATATGATTCTAACATGTGTCATTTCTTAACTTTTCATTGACCACCATTTCACAGATGAAGAAACTGAGGCATGTTCATGCCAGCGAGTCTGTTGCTGGACTCTGGCATCATTCTTGTCTCCACCCAGTGTTATGTTCAGCTTCCTGACTTTCACAATCAGACTTTCAAGGCACCAGGGTTGTTGTTTGAGAAAGGAACTTGCCCAGGATGGCCTCAAACTTTCCAGACTCCTGCCTCGGCCTCCCAAGTGCTACCACTGGGGACAGGTAGCACCATGCAGCCTTTTTACCTTCTTACTTTCAGGGATGAGGATTTCCAAAACCAACTCCCACTCAAGTAGAACAGAACCAACAGTCATATGCCAAATACCAAGAACCCAACCCTGGAAATGAGCATTTTTCCTGGCTGTAGCTGAGGAGGGAAATCTGATTCTTATTTTGTAGGCAATACAGTTCAGATTCACAGCTAAAAAGAAAAAAAAGGCTCCAGGAATGTTGGATCCTTCCTTGTGCTGGGAGATGAACCCGAGAGATAAACTCTAAGTATCAGATGAGGAAGCTCCAAAGTGGAAGACTCCACAGCTTGCTTTAATGTCCCAGAGTCGGGAAATATTAGACAGGCTGGTTTTGTGCTGCACGAAACAGCCATAGGCTCCAGGAAGCTGGAGAGGAAATAGTGTAAGGTATACTTTCTGCCCACAAGACGCTTATGCTAGAGCTAAAAAAGTTGCTTAGTAGTAAAGTGCTTATATGGCCTATGTTTAGCATGTTGCAGGCCTTGGATTCAAGTCCCAGGATTGCACACACACTTGCGCACACACACACACTCACTCACACACACACACACACACACACTCACACACACACACACAGAAAAATAGCTTACAATATAGGAGATGGTGTCTTATTTCTACATGAGTTAACACTTTAGTCTCTAGAGCAGGAAAGTTGAGTGAGGTCACAGTCCTTTGGCAAGGTGATACATTCGAATGTTTGCTGCACAGGATTAGGGTCACTGCCAGTTATATACCACAAAGCTGAAACTTCCCAATTCTGTGTAACCAGGGACACCATAGCAAAGGGCCTCTGCAAGCAATGGTTTGAAATCAGATCAGATGAAGGGAATTTGTGATTGAGGGGATATGTCTAAAATAGCCAAAGATGGTCCAGCTGGTCAGTCAAAGGTCAGCTGACATTGTCTTGGCCTGGTGGAAGCCACTGGTGGACATTGGAACAGCAACAGTGTTGGGTAAGCTTTCTAAAGACAAAGCAAAAGTAAGTGCTGGAAGGAGAGGCACAAATCATGTGCAATGATTCGGAGAAAAGTTTTTTGATTAACAGCCTTCTTCCTTTATGTATTTTTACTTTTTTTTTTTTTTTTAGAGAATTCATTCTTTAATTTGTGTGTGTGTGTGTGTGTGTGTGTGTGTGTGTGTGTGTGTGTGTACAGGGAAAACTTTAATAGCTTCCTTCTTTTGTTCCCAGGAAAGACTGACTCACAGTGGCTCCATGACTAGTTCATGCTTGTGTTAGTCAGGGTCAGACTTGGAGTGGGTGAGTATTTCTGACCACATTTGTCCACTTACACTCACAAGACAGCAAAATCTTGAATATGAAGACTTCCTAAAGTTTTCCTAGACAAGTTTATGTTCCCTCTTCTAAACTTACTTGCAATACTATGTGTCCTTTGTAAGTGATTCTAAAACAGCCCTTTTCTTTCCCATCAAGAACACATTTAAAGATGATGGGCGAAAGAAAATTCAGTCTTTTCCAAGATAGCTTTTCTTTTGCAAAATGCACCTACTTCAGTATAGTGTTGCGACAGCAATCTTACTTTCTCTTCTTTATCCACACTTACCTAGAGCATACTCTGCAAAAGTCAACAGAAGTCCTTAACTCCCATCCCAGCAAATGCCCTTGATTGATTCCTAACCCCAAGTTGGCTCAGAAGCTTTGTGCATATTCATAGAAGCAACAAACACACTGCTTTTCGGAGCTGTTTGCTTCACTTCTAACATCCTAGAAATGAACTAAGTAGGGGTCTCTTATATCATTTCTATTAGCAAAGCAGAGCTGACACCAGCACAGCGTGGCTCTACTTGTGGGTCTGCGTGTGTGTTGCTGGAGATGCTACCATGCATGGCGAGGCAAGTGGCAAGCGCTGGACCACTGAGACATCTCCCAAGATGCCCTGTGTGCTTCTGAGGAGAAATGTAGTGGGTGAAGAGACACTGCTCTCTCTTCTGGTAGCCTGTGGGCTGCTCTGAGTCACTCTGAGCCTCAGTGTTCTCAGCTGTACGAGGATGAGCAGTTCTGAACTAAGGAGCTGGAGGTGTGGTCCAGAAAAGTGCTTGTTGCTCTTACAGAGGGCTACGTGTTAGTTCTCACCACATCAGGTGGTGCACAGCCTTCTGTAACTCCAGCTCCAAGGAGTCCCATGCTCTTTTGACCTCTGTGAACACCTGCATATATGTGGCACACACATAACACATACACATATTACACGCACACACACACAGACATTTTAAAAATTCTTTTAAAGTTGTTTTTGTTGTTGTTGTTAATTTGGCTTTTGTGGCATCCCTGGTAACTCAAATGTGGTTTACTAATTTTTGATAGATGATATTTCTGGGTATCTCCAAGTAGTATTCTGACACACAAGTTCACATATGGTTGGAGTCAGTCCCTAAAACTGTCAGGAGGTTCTGCTGGGTCAACCCACCCGTCTGAGTTCCGAGTCTGTAGACAGATTATCTGGGAACTGAATAACTGAAAAAAAATATTGAGAAGAAAGGTAGGAAATCATGAGGTGTAATGATTATAAAGTAATGATGCATGCAACAGGGCTTCTTAACTAGGATACAGGGCTGCTTTCTGGTGGCCCACTATCCCTTACCATCCCCTGGGAAGTCACATGTGTGGGCACGTGTACAGTTTTCCAAGAAGCGTCATTGCTGAAGTCTCCATAAGGATCTGAAAACTTGCCTTGAAAATAAAGATACTATATTTTACTAGGCAACTCTTTTAAGCCAGATATAAGCTATATACATTTCCTTCTTCTCTTCCCTTTCCTCTTTCAATGGAATCTTTTGGTTAAAATGCCCAATGGCAAAAAAAAAAAAAAAAAAAAAAAAAAAAAAAAAAAAAAAAAAAAAAAACTTGGTAAATTTAAAGAGAAAAAACACAGATTACCTTCATTTTTAATTATGTGAACATGTGTGTGAGATGGGTGCATATCTGTATGTGAATGCGTGTGCTTTCGGCAGCTTGAGATAGTGTTATTAGATGGCTATGAATTGTCTGCCCAGTGGGGGTGCTCGAAACTGAGGGTCAGGTCCTCCGCAAGAGCAGTACTTTCTGTCAACCTCTGGCACCAGTGACATCTTTTAGATCTTGATTTGTATCATTTTTACTTTTTATATCCTGGAAATATTTTTCTGACTTTGATACAACTTCTTTGATTTCTCTCTGAGCAGTATGTATGTGTTTGGTATCAAAAGACATCTTAATGATTGCTTGCATTTAAATTAGCATGTTTCTATTGTAGATGCTTGACTCAAAACTAAATACAATTTATCCAAATGACTGACTTCTCTCAGAAGTACTCTTCCCTGTGTTCTTCCTGTATCCTTCCCCGTATTCTCCAACCACCCCCACCACACACACACACTTTAATTTATACAGACGTTTCTATGAACAATTATCATTCTCTAATTGGCTAACTCCTACCTGAATATTCTCTACCTTGAATTATGTATCATTGTTTGTAGGCAATAGAATTCCTTATCATCAGAAAGATATGTTTATAAATAAATCAAAAGGCAGAGGAAGGCTGATCCCACCTCGGGCCCTTAACTCTGGCTGTAACTAGTCGCAGCTGTACAAGAGTGATCTCCGCTCCAGTTAGCCTCACAAGGAAGCCAGCAAAGTCACCTTCAGAAGTTTTTTGTTTTGTTTTGTTTTGAAATACAGTTTGTTTCCCCTACTCTTTAATTCCTTTTCTAATGGGTTTCTTCTTAGTGCTTACTTCTCCTAGAATAACCGGGAAATTTCTCAAAATGAACAAGCAGAGCTGTTTTTAATAGTACAATGGTTACAGATAATAATAATAAAAGGTTACAGATGTGCATTCTTTGTTAAGGTCTGAGAACAATGTGAATTAGGGAAGTTGTCATTAACTGAACGCTTGGCTATATTTTTTCCTTAGCAAATAGGTAGGAATTCATACCACATGTGTACAGGAGGGCTTCCAAGGCTCAGAGGTTTTGAAGCACCAATTTAGAAGTAGCAGAAGTCAAAGTGATTTTAACCCACGGTGGATCCTCCACACAGCTTTTCTTTTTCACCTGCTCTTCAGGTAAAGGCAAATCTCAAAAAAATTCTCAAATCAATACTGAAAAACTGGAGCTATACAAAAATCTCTCTAAGCCCAAAATATTAACTGTTTCTTTCTTTCTCCATAGACTCTAAGCAGGTTGGTGAAGTTCCTTACCAATATTGTTTATAATTATCTGGATGAAACTAGACAGGATGGCAAAGGCAACACAGTATTTTAAAGTATAATCATCACTGTATCTTCAAAGTGTGCGCAAAGTGCTCTTTGTTGACACATTACAAGTCAAATTAACGGATGCATGCAGCATCTACTCTCACTGCAAACCATAGACACGTTAATATACTTGAAAACATCTGCAAAGACTTCAGGGGAGCGCTGTGGGTTTCTGGGTGTCAGACGCAGGTGATGTTTATGCCAACCGCTATGGTTTATCCCCTGCGTTCATATGCAAGGAAATGTTAAACTGTGTCTGGAGAACATGAAAACAGAGATCTTCTCCCCTCACATCCAAGGTCCCTAAACTACAGCCCTCTGGTTTAAAACTCCCCAGGACTTCTACCCAGGAGACACAGCCCCTTTCTCTTCTTTCCAGAGAGCGACTTCAGTTTTTGTTTGTTCGTTTTAACGGGATGAGGTGAGAGTCTTACCTTCTAAGGTCTCACACTGCACGAGGTTGGCGTAGTCCTGCTGAGATAGGAGGCTGGCCTTGCACCCTCGTACCAGGCCCTCCAGGTAGCCATGGTCCACATTGAAGTACAGCTCTGCAGACTCAAGCATGTTGTTCAGGCCGACGCGGCTCTCAGTGCAGGGCAGCAAGAGAACCCCGGCTTGCTCGCTGGGAAGTGTGGGTGTTGTGGTGGCTCAGCTGATAAGGTGCTACTGACTAGTTTGCTCCAGTTTCAGAGGCTCTCATCACAGGGCCTGCTGCTGTTTTTACAGCAACAGTGAGTCAGCCACGTGGTCTAAGTGCACCCAGGGAGAAATTCACTGTCAGGAGAAGTGGTGAGAAGAGGGGTCCTGGCTTCTCCCTCCCACAGTCCAAGGTCACGTCCAGTTTTGCCAAAAAGAGACTTCAGATACCCAGATGTTGTGTAAACATTCCTTTTACACATCTGAACTTTAATTATAAGTTACATCTATTTCATTGTTTTTGAGGACTGTTACTGTGAGCAAAAGTTTCCTTTTCAAAGCACTGAGAAATGCTGGGTGTGAAGAAGCACTGCTTTAGCAGGAGGTTTGTCAAGAGTCTGAGGACGGCTTGGGTTACAGAGTGAAACTAAACCATAGTCTCAAAAAAATAAAAGCAAAAGCATTAAAACAAACAAACTAACAAACAAAACAAATGTTTGCAGACCCATAAGACAATTCTGTAATATAGTGTATTGGTTAAACAAATTAGGAATGTCTTGAAATTGCCAAGAACTGCCACTTAGTTCATTTTCTTTCTTTTTTTTCTATTTTTTTTCCTTTCTTTCTTTCTTTCTTTCTTTCTTTCTTTCTTTCTTTCTTTCTTTCTTTCTTTCTTTCTTT